TGTCACATGATTTCAGCCTTCCTTATTTGCCATCTGGTTCTTGTTTCAATCCCACTTTCATTAGGCTTGTGGCCTGCTTAGTTTTACCCCTCCCCTCCCTACTGAGCAAACATGAACTTTCAGTTAACTTTCAAAACCACACTGTTCACAGAATGGTGCAAAAGGAATTTTATGGACTTCAAGGACTCAGCTTGACCTTCTCCATAACACAGACCAAAACCCAACCCAGTAATTTCTATTTCAAGCCTGTAATTTCAGTTTGACCAGCAATGCATCTTTAGGAAGGATATTTGCAAAGACCTTTCAGATGTGTGTGATTGTGTACTTCAGCTCTGTCAGTCTTAGTAACAGCAGCAAATGACAGTGAAGAAACGGTTACTCAGGTTTATTCTGATGCTTAAAATGAGCAACTACTTGGATGATCAAAATGAACCATTTAACAGCATCTGGATAGACAGAATCCTGATGATCCTAGATGAGGACTTCTTCATGGAGTGTGCAGAAGCAAGATCTTGTGACGCTGGGGGAATCTACGTACAAGAGGCAGAGGAGCTTAACCAAGAGTTACTCTAAAACTAAGGCCTTTGCTCTTAACCTGTTTGCTAAGATTGTTTCAGTTATTAATTCATTGCTCTTTCTATCCCCTGCTATAAGATCAAGTTCTGTACAGTCAGGCTGACCATGATACATACATCTTTACTCTTCATTATGCTACTTCTTTCAAACATTAAGCATATTCTTTTATTAAACATGCCCTTATTAGCAACGAACTCAGAGACTCTCCATTTTCCTGCTCCATCTACTGGTGCCTGACTGTATGACAGCATTGGTCAGAACTACCCACCCTCATGGGCGCCATCAACATAGAGTAAGAGACTTAATCAGAGGAAAAAAGGTGCAGGTTGTTTTCTTATCTTGAACAAGAGAGTTCTCATTCTTGATGGAAAATAACTACCGATATATCAAATAGAATGGAATTCAATAATTAAATGCCTTACTTGCAGGAAACATGAGGTGGGAATTTGCAAATTGGAAGTTAACTGAAAGATAATGTACTTTCTTGAAAGGTAACGTGTTTCTGCCGTATTGAAATGTTACAATAAATACCTGCCTGAAGTAATCCTTTGTTTGAAATAAAATATTTAAGACACTGAAATATGCCTCCTACACACTTGCTTAAGCTATCAGAAATTGCAAGTACCCACACATTTTAAATATATAATTTATACAGCATACAAAGAAAAGGGTACAGTTAAAAGCTCTTACCTTTAGAATTTACTGTGAAAGTTTTCTGCATTTAAGCATATGCTTTGACATATAGGCAAGTAAGAATTGTAATTTACATTTTTAAAATGTTTCCTCGGCAGCAAGAGAGCAAGTACGTGAAGTATCCTAAAAGGTATTTTGCTTACATGGCTTCCACTGCAGCCTTCCATTCTTCACTTCCTTTACAAGGTGACTGCTATTATCATGTGAGGTAGAGATGCTGCTGGACAAGGTCAGTGCCAAAGGCAGACCGTGTCATTTTCTTTCACCAACTGCAATACAGAGAAGGGCAGCATTCGTAAGCAACATGTGATTCTCTTTGAGCATATGGAAATTATTGCTTCAGCTGAATTGTTTGACCATGCTGACCCAGATACATGCCTTATTTACAAGGGACCGGATGTGTGCTGTAAGCAGCCCATCCTAGAGATAAAGGCTGTGGGTTAAGAGCTAAAGCCAGTCAACAAAATAACAATCAGGGATTTTAGCAGCCAAAGCCTCAAGCCAGGTCTCAGAAAACAGAAGGCAACTACACTGAACAAGCACTGGCTGCCAGACAGCAGCAGCAACCACCCACGTCTGGTACTCTGCTCTTCTGGCATGGTGGTGAAGGGGCAATTGCAAGTGCAAGACCACCTCTACTGTGGTGTGAAAATCACTAACTAAAGACACAGACACACACTGTAGCTGAGAGGGTTTCTGCTGTGTCATCCCCCAGCCACCTCCACAGTGTGAGGTCTAGGCATGAAACATTCTTTGGTTTCTACTAACTCTTACCACTTGTTAACAACAGCAATCAGGTACTTCCTGAGACACTTAGGCTGAGACTGCTTCTCAAATTCTTTAGGCACTGTGCGAGTCCTGTGGTTCTGAGTAACATCTTATAATCCTATCAAACTTGGGTAAGACACATCCGCCCCCTCTGGTAAGCCCATTATAGTTTATAACACAGCAGTGCACCCCGAGTGTCAGAAAGCTGTCTGTCTCCATATTACAAGAGACAACCCCACCCCAAGGAACAAACCCCCAGGGAACCAAGCACTACTGAGTACTGCATTTCACACCACCACCTTCACACCTAGATCTCCAGACGTGCATGTGCGCGCTGTTAGTGTTTTGCCAACCTCACAGTGAGATGCAACAACCTTACCTTAGCTGTACACACCTATCATGGCACACCCTGCTTTGAAAAAATGACAAGTCACCCATCATCTCTAACCTTCCCATCTACATACACCTGCCTAAAGTAGCAGTCAGGCCAATGCAGAGGTTTGTGCTGAATGAAGTCCTCTTTCACACAGAAGGGCTAAGCTAAAGGACTGATTAAAGTGGCAGTTTGGGTTAAGACCTTACACAATTTCTGCTTCAAAAAGTCACTCTGAAGGTTTAAGGTCCTGTATCAGGAGAGGTGAAAGGAGCCCCTGCACAGTGCCAACACACATGCCCACCATGCCATTTAGGCAGTCTGGAGAGGCCAGCATGGGTCAGAGTCTGATCAGGTCAGGACAGACAGCTGCTTCTGCTTCTCCTGCAGCACCAGAGCTCTGGCCTTTCTTTAATGGATCAGTATAATAGAAGATGCATGATCAGAGATGCGGCCAACTTTAACTTTAGCTAGCCAGCATTAACCCTCTTGCACTCCCATTTCTCGGAAACAAACAGACATGCAACTTACGCTGACCTAAAGCTCCTTTAACAACCACATACGACTGATGCTTGCCTTCACCCAAAGTGTCTATCCAACCTTGTGATCCAGGCATCTACAGTGAGGTTAATATAGTCAAAAATAGCCTCCTGGGGGATTCTTCAATTTTCTGATTTGCTCTTACTCCACATAATGATTTCTGCTGCCCCTTTTCACAGTTCATTTGTAGTTAGATCTGGGAATATTCCTATCAGTCAACAACCAATTCACAGTTACATTATCACCATGCCTTCTGCTTGCCCTTGTTCTCTCTCCAGCACTGTGGATGGCAGTTCAGCATACAGCTGAGTCAGGCCATCAAGCTTGATGCTGAGAGCTAAAGCTGGAAATATTGGAAAGATGGTTATTTATTAATCTCTGACAGTAAAATGGACCTTGACTTCCCATTCTTAGGAAAACCAAAGTTTGTAAACAAAAAGTGGTCACTGCTTTGTAACCTCCATTTCTAACACAGAATTTCAGTATCTCCATGTTGTTCCAGCAATGATGGAAAACGTGTAGAAAAGAAATAATTTTGCAAAGTAGCATGGTTCACTTGAGCACTAAGTTACAAGGTGAGAACGTTCCTGAAACACCGACAGGGAGGAGGCAGGAGGGGGCCAACTGCAAAGCAGTTTAAGTACCGTATTTTATCAGTCTGCCTCGAACAGGTAGATGTAAGCCTTTCGGATCCTGTCCTAACAGCACCACCTCCTGGTGAAGGTACCAAAAAGCTCCCGGATCAAAATCCAACAAATGAACCACCAAACATTCTTAAGCTCTGCCAAAACAATCTCTAAATAATGCCTAGTAATCGGATCATATTTTAAACCTCTCATCTTCCCCTCCCTCCGGCCTCCAATTTCAAGGATACTGGATATTCAAGGATACCATTCCAACTCCGAGTACATCTCTCACCCCATCAAATTGCAATGGCTATTGACATGTTCGCCATCACCTGATACCTGCACTCCAGAAATCTTGGAGGAGACCTGCGATGAAACACAGCAGCAGCTCCAAATCACTGCTCTCACACAACAGTGAAGACAGAACTAGTTGATTTTATGTTTCTTAGTGTTCTTTGTAAACAAGCTCACAGGTTCCTCTGTCTCTGTTACAATCAAACAACTGAATGAGTTACTGCTGCTTTCCCATTATCATAGGTTCCTCAGGCCTCAAACAAGAACAAGACCTAACTTTTTATGGAGCAAGATATGCTATCACTTTAGTGGGTTTTAAAATACTCTGTTACAGTTCTGTGTACACATATTAAAAACTAAATGTTACTGACTGATACACAAAAGCTATGAAAGGAAATTGGCTACATTAAAGCACTGACACCACTAGGTACTGACCTAGTGATGAAGTAGAACCTGCAGAATGAAACATTCAAAGAACAAGAGTTCATGAGTACTGAGAGGTAAATAGGTAATTGACAGAGATAAGTGACTTCATATCTCACAGCATATATGGGTGACTCGGTCAGTAAATGGCATGAGCTGTAAACATTTTTATTGTTTTCCTTCTCATTGCAAAATCAGACTGTTATGAGCAAGTTTCTGACACTTATCCATTATCCATTATCCAGCTATTATCCATTTGGGGTGTAAGTGGACGAACTTGTTTACTCTTCAAAGCTTTATAGTACCAGCTGCTTCTGAAAAAGTCTTGAAGAAGCTGATGAGTAAGGCAGATCTTCCCAGCACTTACACTGTATACTTGTAAGAGACTGAGTTACAGTCTATAAACTTACCCTACACAGGTAGGAAAAAACAGATTGTGAAACAAACACATACACAAACAAAACAAAAAAATACCCCTGGCAAGAGAAAACACCTTGTTCCAACCAATCCTGACAATGTGTACAGGCACGGAAACACAGCGTAAGGGTATAGGTGTAGTTATTGGGAGATTCAGTTAACTACCTGGGACTTTTACATTTGGTTTCACAAACAACGCTGTTTAGCAAGCAAAATACCACTTCAGAAGTCAGAAAGGTAAGGACTACTATCAAAACCCCCCTGCTGATTAAATGTGGCTATTTTTCCAGCTGCTGCAGACCCCGTCAGTGTGTTACCTGGAAGTCTGGGAGGAGGAACCTGGTGCAATGAACATGATGCAATCCACGAACGCTTAGATATTATTGAAGAGGTACAAGCTATTGCACTAGCTCCTTGACCTTACCAGAGCTCTGCCCCATCCTTTCAACCAAAGAAAGAATGCTGCTTCTAGGCACTGTTCCCTCTTGATTTTATTCTGTTCCAGGTCTGACTGTTTTTTCAAATGTCAGTTTACAACTCTCAAAAAAGCCAATTAATGCAAAGCTCCCCCCAGGAAGTCAAATTACAGGCGATTCTTTATGCAGAGGACTGCAATTTAACTTCATGTCACTAGAGGGCAGAATAAGACAAGAAATATATCTATAGAGTTATCGCTATATATATTTATAAATATAAATACATATTTATATATTAGCTTGTCATAAGACAAGAAATATTTATATAATATAAATAAAATTAGCTGCTAGCTTTAGATTTGCACTTTTGCTAACAAATGCGGTTCATCTCTTTCCACTTGACCTTTTGACTATCTCCTTCCCATCTCCTTTCCCCGTATCTTCCTTGTTTTCATTAGAAAGTAATAAAAACAGTGGAGCATCTAGAATCAGAAGTCAAATCACTCCTCAACATCATCAATGAGACAACGTCAAACATCCCCATTGCTCCAGGAACCCCACTTACAGACATTTTGGATGGTAAGTATCTAGTGGGATTTAACCTAAGTTGAAAACAGTGTTGCATGTGTTACTGCCAAATACATCATCTTTTATTCTTCCAAGATGTGAATTGATTCTCTCATTGAACTCAGCACAGCTAAGGCCCCAGCTGAAATACTGAAATAGTTTTGAACACCAGGTTTCAACAACTGCTAAAGGTAGGGGGGAAAGGGGAAGGTGAAAAAAAATCCCACCAAACAAAACACCCAGCCAAGGAGCTGGATACATAAGCTACACAGAAGGGTTGTTAAATTGGGAATGTTTAGATTAAAAAGTACTGAAGTAACCCACCAGAACAAGTAAGGCTGCCACCAAGATGAATGGTGTGTTTTCTTCCCCAGTGCAAAAGGGAGTAAAACAAGAAATAATGCAGCAAGAAAGACTCAAGCAAAACACACTGCAAAGCTTTCTTACAAAGAAAGTGAATCACTGATATGACTATGGTAAATGTGGTTCCTCTCTGGAAGGTTATGGGAGATCTGGTCACCTGGGACATGGAAAAGGTTGAGGTACTCGACAACTTTTTTGCCTCCATCTTTACCAGCAAGAGCTCCAGCCAGACTGCCCAAGTCACAGAAAGCAAAGGCAGGGACAGGGAGAATTAAGAGCTGCCCACTGGAGGAGATGATCAGGTATGAGAACATCTAAGGAACCTGGAGGTGCATGAGTCCATGGGACCTGAAGAGATACATCCACTGGTTCTGAGAGAACTAGCAGATGAAGTGGCTAAGACACCATCCATCATATGTGAGAAGTTGTGGCAGTCTGAAGAAGTTCCTGCTCACTCGAAAAAGGGAAATATAACCCTCATTTTTAAACAGCGAAAAAAAGGAAGACCCAGGGAACTACAGACGAGTCAATTTTACCTCAGTGCCTGGCACGATCACAGAGCAGATCCTCCTGGATACTATTCTAATGCATATGAACACAGTAAGGCGACTGATGACAGCCAACATGGCTTCACTAAGAGCAAACTATGCTGACAAATTTGGTGGCCTTCTACAACAAGATGACAGCATACCAACCCAGCAATTCTTCCCTGTGAGGGTGGTGAGGCACTAGAACAGTTTGCCTGGAGAAGCTGTGGCTGCCCCATCACTGGAAGTGTTCAAGGCCAGGTTGGATGGGGCTTTGAGCAACCTGGTCTAGTGGAAGGTGTCCCTGCCCATGGCAGAGGGTTGGAACGAGATGATCTTTAAGGTCACTTCCAACCTAAACCATCCTGTGATTCTGTGACTGTGGTTTTCCCAGCAATGGAAATGTCAAACAAGCATCATACCTTAGAACAGCAGGACACACTAAGCAATCTCAAAACCTCTTTCCATTTTAAGCCAATTCTTTAAGGTGATTCTCTAGTTTCATGTATGGCAAATGAAATAAGAGAAGGCAACAAAACACAAAAGAAGATATTGGAAGTATTACTGTTTTGATAGCTTAAAACCACATAAAGCATGTTCCTGGATAAATATTTTTTTAATAAATTAAACCACAACAGAAATCCTTTTGTTAAGGACACCTGTTTTACACAGCTTCTTATACTGCTCTGACCTTTTTATTCTCTGCCCAGTTATCAATAGCTCATTTTACACCATGAGAGACACCCCTGATGGAAAAACAACCTCTTGTGGAAATGTATAAGCAGCCACCCACAGCCATGTTTATGAAGTCAGTTTCGTCAGGGCTGGGTTTTTCATTTGTTTAAGATAGCTGTACATGGGTACATACACATATGCATACTCACATCAGTGCACTTACATGATATAAGGCCAGCACAAAGTAGACAGCAGGACAGCTTATGTTTATTTTTACTTCTTTCAGTTGGCTGTATGGATCTGGTCACTATGACTGAAATGTCCTCACTAATTTTGTTATTCATTAGGATTTCTAGTCTTCTGTGAAGGGCAGTTAACAGGTAACAATTAAGTTACACCACTGCAATGGTAATTTACTTTAAAAAGTATTCCAGTAAAATGTTACAGTAAATTTAAAATGAAATTCCTAAAATTAACCAAGGCATATTTACAACACATCTATGGCTTAAGAATTGCAAATAGGACCTTCCTTCTGTGATATGGTAAATCAAAGTGGCAATTTCTCACTTCAAAGTAGCCGATTCATGTTTTAAACAATGTTTATCCACAAAGATTGATCCTGATCTTGTAACCAAAAATAATTACATCAACTCTTCTCTATGCAGATACCAGCTGAGCACTGCAGAGACCAGACGGCTGAATGTAACAGTGTATTTGTCATGAAGAGTTGCACTTTGATAAGCTTGAGCATGGATGAACAACCCCCAACTGTAGTTTGCCTCCTGTGATCCTGTGCTTTATAATAAACAAGTATTTGCTTTTAGACACTATTTCAAAGCTTTATATTTTAAATCTTTCAGCAGCCCACTTTATCAAAACTGCATTTCAAATACAGCATTCTCAGGAAGAAAATGAGATCAGGTGGGGTCTGGGACTAAAGCGCAGCTAACTTCCCAATGAAGATACTCTTTCAGCTGCAATTTCCTCTCAAGATATGATTGTCTGACAAAAATGAGTGTATGGAGTTGTCTGCCTTTGGACATAAGTCACGTTGCTGCCATTGACCAAAACAGGAGTCCTAGTCAGAACTGGGTCTAGCCAGAAGGTGTCGTTTGGACACACAGCCACCTTATTATGTCATCTTTACACATTTTTGCTCTAGTGACAATGCCACTCAGAATTAATTCCAACATTTGTGCCCATGACACCCTCATGTACATTTTCACTGACATAGCTCCAAACCTCTTACCCCTCCTTGTACTTTTCTTCACTTGTTTCAGGAACCAGAAGTTGAAGAAATGTCACCCATGCTAGCAGAGACTAAAAATTCAGAGTTACAAGAGTCAGAGAAATTACAACATGCAAAATGAAAATACTGAGCAATAAACTACCGATTACCTATACCACACACAGACAATTGCTCACCCACAGCACACAAGTCCCAGGCTCTTGTCACACAACTATCTGAGTAATTCTGTGGGTTCAAGCAGAAAACTTGTGTGTCACACTCAGTCATCACTCACAGATAAATCAACATCAACACTAAAAAGCATAGTCTGCAAAGAGAAGATAGCTTTAATTTCATAATCTTCTTACATACATATATTTAAGGCACAATCCAAAACCTGAAAACATTAACATAGAATCTCTACTACTGTGAACATTACTACTGCCTTGTGAGAGTTGCCCTTGTGAGAATGAAATGTGGAACACATCTTCCTTAAAAACAACCAAGGAAAGAAAAAAGGAGTTGACAAAAGTTCTTTAAGACAGTCTTAACTAGACACAAAACCTAAGGCTGTTCTCTCCACATATCAGGCAGTCGGCAAGCATGAATCCAACTCTGCATACAATATATATATAAAACGTGCATTAAAATGACATGACTGTTCATACAAAATAAAGCTTAAATCATAGAACTGTGACTTTTTTTTCCATAAAACAAATACTATTTCAGCATAATATAAGCAAGAAAGAAATGACAACCTGTCATTCAAGGATTGCTGAGAGTACTATACAGAGTCCTGAGCAGATGGCACATAAGCTTGCTAAGTATTTTTTTCTTGGCATTTATTACCTACTATTTTTGAACTGAAAATGTAGGCAATATTTTCTTTAAAGATGTAATTGCTGTAGGAGAAACAGGTCATTACATATTTACTTCTAGAGAAAAAAAGATGCTTTAAAGTACAGCCATGAAAACAGCAGCTTTTTTTTAAAGAAAAGCTCAAAGCTCCATTTAGTCATTTCCACCACACAACTTGAGTAGGATTTTCCGGTAATCTCCTGAAGTATCACCCTGAAAAGGAACCCAGAAGAAGAAAAGTTGAAGGCTTCTGTTTTGAAGTAGAGGAAACATTAGCATCCTAAACATAACATCAACAACCAAAAGAGATGAAGCCAGGGTTGAAAGAAAGCAATTATTATCCTCTTTAAAAAAGTAATTTAAAAGCCTATGAACTGGAAACCACTCTAATACAAGTACACAGTAAAATCTGCTCCTTTCACAACTGGAACTGAATGCGTACATAGAAATACATTTCTTTAGCAAGCTGAATTCAGTATACAGGTTCAACTACTTGGGAATAGTACAATTAAAAAAAAAAAACAACAACAAAAAAACCCAAAAACCTCACTGAAAAGCTGTGTTCCAGGAAAAAAAAAAAAAGGTATGAAAATACAGAAAAGTTAATACAGAAGTCATTTTCCTTGACATGTCGATATTTTTCCAGAGGGAGCAACTGAAAGTTTCCTCTGTACTATAATCAAACTTTAAAACAAGGCCCTGATATCAAGGGATATAAGAGTTCGGGTATTTCCCACAATTAGAGAACAACTCTTTCATGCTGTGGGCAGTGAAAATCAACATGGATAAATGCACAAACATGCAATTAATCGCAAAAGGCCCCGAGTTTTTGCCTGATGCTCTTGTGAGTAAAAAGTGCTCCTGGGAGCTACTCATTTACTAGTTTTGGCCGATGAGGCTTGCCAATCCTTTTCACAGAACAGTTTCTGCTCATGCATTTATCTCATCTGTCATTATCAGGTATAACTGAAAACTATCCAAAGCAAAATTATTACAATAGGAACTATGAGACACTTCAAAGATCAGGATAAATCCTGTGCATGTGTAAAGCACAACCTGCAAAATGTGAAACATTCCTGTTTATATATGCACTGAAAGGAAAGAACTGCTGTCTCCCTACACACACGCGCGCGAGAGAAGAACGAACTTTCTTCCCAAGGATGTTGGAAAAATCAAACAAAACAAAAATAAGAGCTACAATTTACATAGATCAACATAACTGCCCATGCATGCCCATATTTACTGAAACCAAGTGTCCTCGGTTTAGCAGCAGCAGTCATTTTTCTCCTTCTTGGTAGCTGGTGCAGTGCTGTGTTTTGACTTTTGGGTTGGGAACAGAGCTGAAAACAATGATATTTTGGTTTGGCCAAGGACTCTGTGAGCCTCATGCTCTGCCAGGGAGGAGGGGAAGCCAGGAGAAAGCAGAGACAGGACACCTGACCCAAACTGACCAAAGAGGTATTCCATACCACAGCATGTCATACCCTGGAGGTAATGGAGAGTTACCCAGAAGGGCTAGGTGGACTGCAGGGCTGGAGGAGGTATCGGTTGGTGCTTGGTCAGGCTGGGGGGGCGACTAATCAGTCACCTGGTGATGAGGTGTTGTATTCTCTTCCCTTGTTATTTCCTTTATCATTATTATTTGTGGTAGCAGTAGTGATTTGTGTTATACCTTAGTTACTAAACTGTTCTTATCTCAACCCGTGGGAGTTGCATTCTTTCTGATTCTCCTCCCCATCCCTCCAGGAGCAGCAGGAGGGCAAGAACGGGGGGGGAGTGGGTGAACAAGCTGTCTGGCTGGGATTAAACCATGACACCAAGTTCTGAGGAAGTTCAGCCCATTAAATGGGTATGGCCTGTTCCTGAATGGTATAATTATTTTAATGCCAGCACAAAAGATACTAAAAAAAGCTGGCGGGAGGGTAAAGGAGTAAAGGAAAAAAAATGGGGAGAGGGGAAGGACTACAGCTTTTCCACCGATGTCTCACTGTTTTTTACTCTCACATTGGTGGTTCCAGGGCACAACTTCTGTAGTAGAAGCACATCTTCACTCCTCATTTATACGCTTGGAAAAAGCTTCTGCTAGATGACCCTCTGTGGCACACTGGCAGAAAGACCGTAGAGTCACTGGCAGAAAACTCACACCAAGACTTTTTGGTGCAGCCCCAGTGCCATCAGCAGAAGGAATAGAGACTTAACAGATTTGTCACCTTCGTTACAAGATCAATGAAGGTGCACTACTTACTCTCCTGCAGCTTTTATTACCCTCCGCATTGGCCAGGCATCCTCTTGACTGTTGTTACAGCTGCCAATAGCAGTAATAGGGTTGACTGACTAATTGCTAATGAATGTGAAGTTTAGGCTATTTCCAAGATCTTGCACTTTCAAGAGAAAGAGGAGGCAATCTTTTAAAAGTGCATTAGGAGCTTTACACTCTTTCAACACATACATGAGGTAGAGCACCACTGTTATCAGGAGGACTTAGTGGTTTCTACAAGATCATATACAGAGATTGCAACAGAAACCAAGCTTAAAACCAGATCTCTGAAATCCCTCTGGACCTATTTTTCTTTCCTTCCTTCTCTGTTGGCTTCCTTCCCATCTCTAGCTCCTCTAGCCCCCACACAAAAGCAAGCACTGTCTGTTCTCTGGCACTTCAGCTTCCATTCCCCTGACAAATGCAGCAAACCAAACATAGCCAGCTACACTCAGTGCTGTTAATAGCTATTCAGTGTAAGTATGCATGTTCTACTAGCAGAAAGGATGTCACTTGAGGGAAAATAAAATCTCCAAGACTTACAGTGATGTCTGCATAGAGGGATCTGCCATACATCCTCTTGTATTCTGCACGTATGTCCAGCAGGTCAACCTCGCTGCGTGATACCATAATTCGAATCAGAGTTCTGTCTTTTGTTCCTGCTCCCTGAAACAAACAAAACAACAATATAATGTATTAATAATGTGCGGAAATGCTTCAGCTGAACAATTAATTCCAATAAGCTGTACAAGCATTAAAGCCCCCAAACAAACCAACAAATAAAATCCCCCCCCCAAAAAAACACCAAAACCTCACCACACTATATGTTTATGTATTCTGTCACAGGGACCTACCTTCATAGCCTTCTGTAATCTCTCCGCAAAAAAAGCTGGTGTGTTCTTGAGGCACTTAACTGCAAAAACAAACAGCATTATAGAAATCAGGTATTCTCCCTCAATCATTATCCTAAATAGTTACATGGTTTAATTTTAAACAAACATAAACTCCATACAATGCAGTTTCCAATCCTTCAGTTAGTCACCAAAATGATTTTTAATCCAAACAGTAGCTGCAATAAAGTTAAAGAACCTACAACATAGCCCAAAGGAAACTTTTCCATCACTAGAAACCATCTAGTGTGAGCCAGCCATAATGACCAGATTCTTGCCTCTCAAGGGAAAAGAAGGGATGGGAGGGGACAGATGGCTTGAAGGAACAAATAATAGTGTCCCAGGCTTTTTCCTAATTTAAGAATTTTTAGCCCATGCATCTACAACGTATGACAAAATTAAGTCCTGCCCTAATACAAGTTGGGAAGCCACCTACAACAGAAACCTAACCTTATTTTAAAGCTAATCACAATTATTTTTTTTAGCCATCAAGTTCACCAGGACTCCTGAAAAATTCTTAACCTGCTTATTTAGTAATGACTGGATTTTATACTTACTTAGAACAGTTCATTAGAAATCTGAAAGAGCAAAATCTAAATCAAATTACTGTCATGTTAATCAGGATAATGAAAGAATCCTCCATCACTCATCAGATTTAAAATCTATAAATTGATCCTATGTTGGTTACAAGCACATAATCATGCAATCTGTGGCAAACTACACAGAAAACAAACCACACCTTTCCTATATTTTATAGCACAAAAAGTTATCTTAAGCTATTACATAAAATCAGCATGAAACGAAACAGGTAAACCTAAATATATATTTCACGGCAACCCATATTTTAGATAGGAAAAAGTACTTCTCTGAGTAGGAAAATGTAGATGAGAGGTAGTAGTTCACCACACACAATTCTCAATGATATGTATAATACAACTCAAAAACGAATGACAAATGAAATGCATGTTTCTCTACCACTGCATTTAGCTAAAACAACACACTTGCACTTTAAGATGTTTGAAGATGTTATTGTAAGTTACCAGTTGCACAATCCAGAAAGCTTTAAAGAAAGCAAAATTAAATATTTTCAATTAGAAAACCTTTTTGTCTTTTCTGAAAATAAAGTTCATAGAACAAATGATGCTACCACCAAATGATACATATATATATGTGTGTGTATACATATATACATATATATACACATATAAATAAAACCACCAAACTAAAATCTATTCAATAAAAGATTTGTTCAGGGAATAACTCAAAAGATTATTGACTTATTTGTACGCTACATTCCCAATTCTGAACCTGTATCTACATGGGATCTGAAAAATGACTGCAGAGCTCCGTGAAGTCAAAGTGATAACACATTCTCCTTGCTGGGGTGACCTTTTCCTACAGACACTGGGAAATATTTATTCTCCCTAACATTTGTTTTCTAACAATACTTTCTGAGGTGACAAGTTCTGAAGGCTGGAAAAGATCAGTGAACCTGTCACACCAACAGAGCTGGACCCAGTGTAGTTAATTAAAGGGCTACTATAGTGACAGCCTGGCCAAGCAGAGTAAGAAAAATGGTTACATAGCTCAGGACTGAAGAAAATGTGGCTTTTGTAATTCATTCCCATTTTGCAAGATTTTGTTACAAAACTCCATGAAAAATATCTGTTGTGGTTGAGCCAAATATCCTCTCCCATCTTGTTTCCCAAATGACACAAGCATGTTTTGGGATTTCTCGGGGGGAGTTTTTGTTTCTTTGTTTTGTTTTGTTGTTGTTTTTGTTACATCACTTTTCCAGTCACTATGATATTCAAAAACAAAGAACACCACTTTTAAAACAGCAGCAATAGATATCACAGTAAATTCACAGTAATAAACAGAAAAATAAATGGAGATGTAAAGAAGCAGTCTTGTCTAAGAAACATGAGACAAAAGAAGAGAGAAAGAGGTTCACAATTTTATGGAGAATAAAACACTCCAAATAGGAGTACTGCACAATTTGAGACCTTGTGCCAACCTCATGAACACTAATGACTACCTTCCCAAGGATAACAGTAAACTTGAGGTAAGAGACTTTACTCTTCAAAAGTACTGAAGGCACTTAACAAAGCTCTAACCACAAAAAGGAAATGTGGAAAAAATTACCCCTTTACAATCAAATTTAAGTTTTCTTTCTAGTAAAAAGAAGTAGAGGTAACTAATTAGAGGGTTGATGTCTGTATTCTGCTTGTTTTCCAAAGCTGTCCCAAATATTCCGTTCTCACTGACTCAGCAGTTGGTACAAGCTCTCATCACTTCTGAAAATAATGCCAAGTACAGTTAATAATCCTTTCCCTACTTTAATGTATGAAATTTAAATTCTGCAGCTGTCTGAAGTGAAAGTTTCATCTGTCATTATGAGACGAATTAAGTGCCCTGCTTTACTAACCCCAGGCACCTTCATAGAAAGTTCAAAATAAAATGCATAAAACTAGAATTATTACTAAGAATTATTACTAAGAACATCCTTAGCTAGAGTCACCACCTAAGCCAGTTGTAGCGGAATACCAGGAATGAACTTGCTAAACCAACACCTACCTACTGCCAGCATGCCCTTTTCCAGGTCTCCAGACATTTCACGGCATATGCTTTTCTCGATGTCCCGGTTACACATCCTCTGGTACTCACTGAAGACTGTTAATGGGAAAGATTTCAGGAGTCAGCCTCTCAAAAAGAGGTGGCACTGGTGCATGCTGGATGGCTTCATTTCAATCACACTTCTCAACTAGATACTACAGTATACTCAAGTTTTAACATCTCAAAAGACTAATACTATTTTATCACCCATACTGTTCCATTTACATGTCGCTGTGCTCCTTCTAGCTTGTCTGGTGCTGTCCTCATTTTTAAAGGGCTAGACCAATAAATCACTGTAAGGCAAACAGCAAAAACTGTTCTAGGAAAGCTCTGGGTGTCAATAAAATTAAGAAAACATCCAGGTTCTCACACACACCCCATCCCTTTCCTCTCTACGTAACTGCCTCAGTATGTAGTACATTTCTACAGTTACTAAAACACCTCCAGCGTTACTATACAGACCGATGTAACACCTAGTCACTAGCAAGTAAGAGGGGAAAGGAATGATTTCAAGTGTCTTGTGCACACACAAGCATGCAAAATTGAAACAATCTTAGTTTTTCAATTCTTTTATCAGAGAAACATTTGAACAAGGATGACCTCTACCTGCTCTGATACTTAAAAAAGACTATTATAACATTCAGCTCTTGCGTATTTTTCCCCTCAGCAGAATTTATGCTGCTTTCCATTGAGGTATCATTACATTCATTTTACAGACGGGGGAAAATTCAAACACAGACCACTGTTGTACATTTATATCATCACATATAACAGAATCAAGTTACTATTTATGTAGGGGACACCATTACCCGCTCTGAGGTGGGCCCTGCTTCTTGCACACAAAATGGCATTGAATTTGGATTCATCAGTTCCTAGACGGTTCTCTCCAGCTGCATATAGCTCCTAAACACAGAAGGGAATTCACACTTCATTACTCAGAAAAGCAGCAACGCTTGAAAAGCTGAGTTACAGATCTGCTTCCTTACAGCTTCTCCTTTTATATTTAGTTCTTACTCTATGTACTGCTGGAAAACAGAAGGAAGTAATAAGTAGCAGCTAGTTCTAACCTTCCCGATATATGCTATGCTTGCAGTCTTTCTAGCTTACTGATATGTAAATGTTCAAACCCAAGAGCTCCAGACTACTGAAGAAGGGAAAATTGTTTAAAAGGTATCTGAAAATTGTTCTTCCTAAGAGGGCTTATGTCTACCTTTTTCCCCTACTCCTCTAGGTGTGCTCTGGGACATTCTCATCTCTTGCTAAGGCATAATATGTAGAAAGCTAAGCACATTACTATTTATGTTGCAGTACTGTGCTGAAACAATCCAGGGTTTTCCTCTTTGCTATACGGTGAAATGGAACATGCAAAAAAATTAACTGGGTTACTGAGTCCAATTGCTTTATTTGCTGCAGAAATCCAGAGTTCCTTAAATAGCAGGCAAAGGCTAATGCAGGTGTTGAATACATTAAAATTTGATGAAAACCCTTTTAATCCTCAAAACTCTTTGATCTATTCCCTTAAAAAGCAGCACAATGGAGCCACCCAAAACATGGAAAAGTCAGATAGCTGACAGAATGAGAGATTAAAAAAAAACCCTATGGACTCTATTTCCGAGAACTTATATCTCTGTAATGGAGCTACATGGCTCTGCTGCTATGTCAGGGCCTTTCATATCACATCCACCCACTGAAACATAAGCACTACAACAGAACTCACAAGGTGACCAAAACTAGGAATAAGCAGAAACCACACAGTCAAATTTCAATGTATTGAGTTGACTATACTTAAAAATGATGAGGAACTTCTACTGACCTGCACATCTTTTTGGACAAGAGCCATGTCAACACTTGTACTTTCATCTCTGTTTCCCTGAAAGAATTTGAAGATACAGAAGTGTTACTTGGTGGGTGCATTTTTTTCCCCTTTTTTTTTGTTTTTTAATTTTCTTTTATTAAAAAAAAACAGCCATCTTCAAACACACACACAAAACCCAACTCCAAAATACCAGCATGCAAATACCTGAGAAAGCGAAATCAAAAGCCTCTGAAAGTGTCCAGAAGTATCACTTTTTATTGCTTCCTCCAGAGTTTTCTTAAATTCTGGAAGAGACACAGAGTCACCAATCATCATACAACCCTGCTCATTTTCTAACTTTATGTTTACAGCCAGTGATTAAGAAGAAAAGGAAGAAATCTGTAATGGAACTATAATAAATCTAACCTGCTTTGTAGACCCTGTTGAGTTCCTGAATATGCTCATTACTGCGAGAAGCTAAGATTTCAATGAGACAATCTTCATCTGTCCCAATGCCCTGAAAGAAAGCATAAGGAAAAAAACACACTTCAGAGTCTTGTCTTAATTTCACAACCTAGTATAAAACAAATGGAATAAAATTAAACAACAAAATACAACTCAAAATATAATCTTTTTACACAGGAAGTCAAAGCAAGTAGTTTAAATGTTACTTAAAACATATTTCCAAGACAAATATGTATTAAAGACACAAATTGAATAGATAATTAAAATAATTATGAAAACAAAACATTCTAAAATGTCATACTTCACCCCAGATTTCAGGCTTTTTAAGAATCATTTTTTTCTACCATTATCAGTGATTTTAATTCTAATAGGTAAATTTCATTCACTAATAAATAACAGTGGCAATTATAATGAAGTTAATATTATTTCATCCTCTTAGCTACTTGAAAATTGTGGCCAAAGAACATGTAAATATATGTATTGACTCGGAAATTTAAATATTCATTTCACCTTCCTTTAAACATTATCTTGAAATACAAATGTTTCATTATCTTTAAAATAAAAATCCTAAATGTTTAAAAACCCCTAAATGTATATAAAATAAGTTTCACTGTTTTAAAGAGGAAGTATACAATCACAGAATCATAGAATAGTTAGGGTTGGAAAGGACCTTAAGATCATCCAGTTCCAGCCTCCCTGCCATGGGCAGGGACATCTCTCACTAAACCATGTCACCCAAGGCTCTGTCCAACCTGGCCTTGAACACCGCCAGGGATGGACCATTCACAGCTTTCCTGGGCAACCCATTCCAGTGCCTCACCACCCTAACAGGAAAGAACTTCTTCTTTATATCCAATCTAAACTTCCCCTGTTTAAGTTTTAACCTGTTACCTCTTGTCCTATTACTACAATCCCTGATGAATAGTCCCTCCCCAGCATCCTTATAAGCCCCTTCAGGTATTTCTGTAGTATTTTAGAAGATGTTCAGCATGGGCTAGGAAAATATGCTTTTGAGCTGAGGGAAAAGATAAAAATAAGTACAAAAATATACACCTTTCCAAAATCTTTATGAGCATAGTTTACTGAGCTATTCTCGAGCACTGACTGTAAAGTCACTGTCAACTGTAAGTTGAGCATTGTCATAACCAGTTCCATCACTGTTCAAAGCAAAACCCCAGAAATAAAGATGCAGTGGCTGGCTTAGAATATGGCTGCCTCAGTGGCTTATTCAAGATTATGTAATAAATGAACTGTAGAGAGTGTTAGAACTCCATTTCTGCCTGTTTTTTTGTGTGTATTTATTTACTAATATATTTTTGTTACAACATAAACCTATCAGATAGTCTTATCCTTAACCTATGGAAATAATATTTCTCAATTTTACCATCATGTAACTCCATGAAATGGTGTACAGGTCAGACAAGCAGTGGGTTCAATATCAGGAGAGAGAGGAGGGGAGGTAAATCCAAGCTTTTAAATGACTACCAAAATTTTATCAGCTCAACTATTTCCTCTATCTTCTAAACTTATATCTCCTACACAAACCTTTATAGCTTCCTTGATTTCATAAGCATCAAGCATGACAGGTGTCTTCATCATTGCTAAGATTGTCTTCTCAAAGTTACCTGATAGCTCAGACTTCAGATCCTTGATCAAATCCTAGTAAGAAGTAAAAACAGGGAAAAAAGTTGCATAAAGACCAAAGCTGACATAGTAAGGACCAAAACTGTGAATTTTAATCAGAATTCTTTATGCATAAGTATCAATAATGTATCTCCAAATAAAGCTATTCCACTTAACAACACTAAACCCAGCATAAGGTAACATGTACATCTAGGTAACTAAGATCCAATTAAATTGACTGAGCAGATCAAAGAGTTAAAGGAACCATTTAGCAAAGAAATTGCTTTATGTATTTCATTTGAAACACTGCATGAAAAAGTCAAGAATAAGTAAAAGCAGAACCCTAAACAGGCTATGATCTGTGAATCTTCTTTCCCTTAGGCAACTTTCAATCTTTTTTTCCAAACACTAAGTCTTCTAACTTCCAGTGAAGGAATGAAGGCTCTTACTTCTTCTTCCTTCGGTTCTTATGATGTATTTACCTTTCCATAAGCTGTTTTGAAGGACAGGATGATCTGTTGCCGTTGCTTGTTTGAGCGACTTCCAAGACAATCTATAATCGCCTGTTCATCAGTTCCTATACACACACACAGACACCACAGAATGAGCATGCATGTCATGTCATGACTCAACTTTATGTTTTCATTTGACCCTATCTCGTCTAAAGCCATCTAAAGGACATGTATGCTTTTAATTCATCTACAGTATCTATTCTTGTGTATGACCACAGAACATCAAGCTCTACTCCCAGTCACAAACACAGTACAAATACAAAAAGAAACCAAGCTCAAGGCCAAATACCAAACTCATGATGTTGTTTATGCCTAAATGAATAATTCTTCTGATTATCAAGGACAACCACACATAAACTAACCCACTCAGTACATACATAACAATATAGAAAGCTCAGTGCTGAATCAAAGCTGCAACCCTTCTTTTATATGAAAAAAAGACTGCTCACCTAATCCTTTCATGGCCTTCCTTAAGACTTCTGCATCCTTCAGAGGATCAAATCCTGGTGCCTCAGTGATTGTGCCTCGGTTTACATGCTAAAATAAGACAAAGTTGAGTTGCATGTTAATGCTAATCAGCTAAAGACTGTTTTGCTACATAGTAAAAATGACCACTAGAACCAATTTTCTTCACATTAGAGAAGTAACAGAGAAAACTCAAAAAAACCCTACCTGAAACAATTTGGAATTTCTGTTTACAAATTATGAGAAAATGCAAGGTCTTGAACATTCACTGATATAAATATGTTGTCCAATTAATTTAAGTTTTGATGAAACTGTATATACAACTGGCAATACTTTCTTAAGTTAGGGAAGGCAAATTTCACTACATTTGAATTCACATCAAACCTTTCTTCTTGGGCAATATGGTAAACCAGCATTTATTTCAAACCCTGAGCCTATATTGCTTCCATTAGGAAAGTACCTATCTCTTTAGACAAATTTCTTTTCATGGGTTTTGGTTTTGTGTTTTTTTTTTTTCTTTCAATTTTATAGCTAGTTTATATTCATATACAAAAAAAAAATGTGGAGAAACACATATACGATCACATCTCAAAACAGCAGCACTGATGCTCTTACTGTTACAGAAGGGATTGTAGGTGCTGTACGTACTCCGTAAGAGGGCACAGATGGATTCACAGATGGATTCACAGCTGGGCCTGGTGGATAATTTGGCATGGGCTGCTGCCCTGGGTAAGTTGCTGGTGGTTGTCCTGGATAGTTCGTAGGTGGTGGTGTGGGCTGGCCTGGTGCAGGGCCACCTGGGTATCCTGGATAAGATGGCATTCCTGATGGTGGATTTCCTCCAGGTGGAGGATACCCTCCATAAGCAGGCTGTTGTCCTGATGGTGGTTGCCCAAAGCCACCTGGAGGGACTGGGGGATAACCTCCAGGTGTTGAAGGATATACGCCTTGTGGTACGTATGTTCCACCAAAGGTCCCTGCCAGATTGGATGCCTGCAATGACAGACAATAAAGCAAAAGGTAGGAAGGTATACAAACAGTAGAGATTCACTAATGGGCTTAATACAATACAACCTACCCCCTCCAACACAGATAGGCAGCTCTGAATCTGCAAAAAACTTTGCATTTATGTCTTACTAGCATACAAGATGTGAAAAAAAACCCATGTTCCATTGACTCTCGCTTTACTGTAATCATCGGCTTCCATACATGAAGAACCAACAGTCACATACCTGCCATTGCATCCAGCATGACATACCACTCACACAGAACAGCACCAATAGCCACCACCTCTTATTCTAAGAACTTACACCAATTAATCCCAGCAACACAAAACTGCTTATCCCTTCTCTGTCCATGGCCGTCTTATATGACCACAGCATCATCTGAGTGCAGGGATTTACTACAAGCTATCCCTGGCTGCACTAGATGCATTAGTAGTTAGTTTACAAAGAGCAAGATTCTGGACTTGGCAGAAAACTGCCACAAAGATACTCCACTCCACATGCAATACCACCTTCCACGACATACTCAGATCCTCTTCTATAGGGGAATCAGAGAGACTGACATTTGATGACTGCAGTGACCACAGAAGCTAGTTGCTGCAGATACTGCACTGCACACCCTACGTAATTTATTGCTCAGTTTGACTGCTGGCTGCCAAATCACTTAATGTGATCTGCATCAGAAAGGCATCTGTAATGCAAATGTCTTCCTACAAACTGTGTATTTGTTATGCAGCATAACAGCTTTCTGAAGACTAAGTTGTCAGAAGTGTCACTTACTTCTACTCTATGCAAAAAGTCACACTGGAAATGTCTGCATTTTCTTCAATCAATGTAGAAGGTTTTTACTGCCATCTGTTAAACATCAGTGCTTGTAGGAGACAGCTGATCCCATATTCTTTTCAGGGATGAGCCATGGATATCTCAAATTGCACAGCCTTGTTCCTTATAAAGACTGGCCAAAACCCAGGTAATAGGCAAAATCCGGACTGTATTTGTCAACATGAATATGTTGACAATGGACACTAGGTGTCTCCTATTCCTGTTATATTTATATATTTATAAATAGTTATATTACTTTTATACCCATGACTTTTGAAGTTAGGCTCTTAAATCAACATTTAACTACTGATCTCATTTCCTAAAGTAAAGGAATAGCTTGTGGTAATCATTTTCTTCAATAGATGATATTGAATTCTCAATACCTAAACAGACTAGACATAAAAGCACAGAACTCAAGTGATAAACCTCTCAGTGACAATGCCAGAAACACATCTTGCACTTAAGGAAGTCACAGTAAAGTACACTAAATGAAAGAAAACTCACCATTCCAGCCATGTAGTTGGGATTGAACTGAGTGGCATAGCCAGCCACATTTTCTAGACCAATTGGAGGTGGATTTAAAGGTGGACAAGCAGCACCACCCCAAGGACTGCTACCTGAAATCAAACACAGCTGTCCTGAAACAAGAAACTAAACCTTTTAAAACTCATTCTTCACTACTTACATTTCTAATATAAAGTCTGTTCAACACTGGCAATTTGGGAGAAGGAAACTCAACTGAAGAGGTGAAGGGTAGCAGTGCAATAATTATATAAAGAGAAACCTCACTCGATATTTCTAACCACATTAGTTACTGTTGAATCTATAAAGTTCTCATTTAAAACAACCCTAAGCATATTTCAAGGTTAACACTCAAGAGTTAATACTGTAAACATCATGTTTTGATTAAAGAGTACTTTCTCTTAATCTAGAAATTTGTCTGGGTATTCCAATAGGAACATTATATTAATTCTTTTTAGGCTACTAATATTAGATACCTACAGAGCATGATACAATACATTCACAGATACCTAGATTACAAAACTCGGCTGCACACAGCAATACAGTCTTCTCTGCACAGCAGTCTAACTAAGCCAGAACATTCAGAGAGATGTTCTGGGAGGATAAATCCTGTGGAGAAACTGGATTTATCCTCCCAGGCTAGTCTGGCTTCTCACAGTACACTGCTTCCCCTTCCTGAGTTCACTTGCCTAACTCCACATTTCAGCACACCCACGACTCCAGTCCTTTCTTTCTGCCAACAATACCAATAACTCTGAAGTTCATTGCTGACAACTGTGAAGTTCACCCTGATACCAGGCTTCAGCTTTATATTATTATAATTGATACACCTTTCACCAGCCCTCTCCCTTCCATATACAACCATCTGCCTAAGAACAGTGAATTAGGAATGTCATCATTAAAGCCTTACTTTTTTGTTGAATATGTTCTTAAATTGCGTGACCAATTTCTTTCCAAACTCATTTTTTCTCACCAGCTGTCTTTAAGAAGCAGTACTAACAAGGCTGACATTTATTGATTTTGGCCAAATTATGACTATGCCTTAGTGCTGTGTGCTTCATCTGAGATGAATGAAAATGGACTTCGTATGAGCACATGGTAGAGCACCCAGAATCCCCACCCACGATAAAACAGGATTTAACAAGAGAGTACAGAAAGTTTTGGTAACTCATGAAAAGCCTCCAGTCTCCTTCTTCATCCATGCCATCTTTCCACTCCAGATAGGACCACCACAGCTGTTTAACATCTACTTCATCTAAACAACTTACCTGGGGCTGCTGATGGATATCCACCCGCTGGGGGATAGCCAGGGTAACTCATCGCAAAGATCTGAAAAGTTATGTGTGATACAGTTACCTTCAGTAATGCCTCCCTAATTACACCATACAAAATTAACAGGCAACATGTTTGCAGTAGCCAATTCCCAAAATGTATATATACTTTGCCCAAGTGGCACAGGCATTTCCCTGGGAAATCTCCTCCTATTACCTTCTGCTGGACCAATAAACACATTGAGGTGTCTCAGCAGTTGGAGAGTCACTCCTCAGACTATTTTTTTTATTTGTTTCACTTACTACTTATGACTCAGTCTATTATATTGTTAAGAATGTATTACTTGAAAATGCTTACTTCATCATGCTATTATAGTCTCCAGAAGTTTATAACCTATACAGAATAGTCTTCTTAATCAAGAGTAAAAAATCATCTGACAAACAAGCCACATCTTCAATTGAGTAATTTTATGGTAACTGTTAGAAGGCACTTAAGTGCAAATGTATGCAAAAGTGCAAGGTCAGAGTAAGGAGTAGGGCTACACCTCATGGTTACAGCATTGCCATAAAGTACAAAAGGTTTACTGAAAGGTTTACTGAAAGGACCAGAACAAATACGTGGATAGTGCCTTTGTCAGCACAGTAGTGCACAAAGTCATTAGCTCCAAAACAGAAGTGAAGGTCAAAAAGGAAAGCTACAAGAAGGACAAAACAAAACTTAATTTCCAGAACTCATTAAGCCTCATTTTTAAACCTAATAATTATCAGGAAGAATGGTCAAAGTAACTAAAGGGAGATTGTTCCAGATGAAGGACAATCAGTCTTAATTTTCTCAAAGCTATCTTTAGTGACAATTCTCAGTCTATTTTTAAACTGCTGTGCAAAGAGTATCCCTTTCCTTTCTTTCCCCTAAAGCACTACCTTATGCACTTGGCTCACTTTGCTGTGTTTTGGATTTCAGCTGTGAAGTTTTGTTTTAGGTTTGGTTTGGGTTGTGGGGGATGCTGTTTTCGTGGGACTGTTATCATTTTGCAGTATCATGCTAAACTTCCCTTTCTGGTTTGCACGGCTCTTTTGCATAGCAACAGATGAATTGGAAAATATTTTTTTTTTCTTTTTCTTAAAGGAAAATCTTCAATGTTCTTAAAGGAAATCTTTCATTTATTTAAAAACTCTTTGGAGTACACGCTGCATGTACTCATTTAGATTTAAAGAGAGAGAAATGAATGAACAAGAACTGCAATGAACAGAGCAGACTGTAACTAAAACCCCTACCTTACTTCTACTCCAGTATTTAAAGCGTCTAACATAAATGAGCAGTTTCTCAGTATAAAAACTCCTTTATCAGTAAATAAAGGATGCTTTTAACAGGAAAATAATTATTTCTGTGCATGTAAATTTAAGCACTGCCCTTCCATTTATGCCATTTGTTCATACTCATTCATAATACAAACCAAAGTGCAAGGTGGGGTCAGGCACAGGTATAACCATTACCCCCTTTTCTGATGGGTGTAACGGATTTAACAATTCACCCAGCCCCGCATGTGAGGCCAAGCAGGACACACAGCTGGGAAACTTGCTGACATTTTACAGAATCGGGCATTAAATCAGTAAACTGTCAATCACAAAGAGCCACATTTAAACCTCAAGAAAGGTCCTGGGAAATCAAAGCCACTCAAAACCATCTTGGCCCAACTCTGCATATTCAAGTGAAAGAACAGACTACAGCTCAGCTCACATGACACCGTTCATAACCAGGTTATATCTAGCTCATAGAAATTTTTATATTGTAACAGATGGTTAAAAGATGCTCTCCACAACACAGTAAATGTTTTTCCCACATTCTCTTCAGCTTTGGTTTTCAATGAGATCCTTCGCTGCAGTCTATCTAGGAGTTCTAGAATAGGCTGTTGCTAGCATTTATTTTACCACCTCCACACAGGGCCACATTAAGAAAAACCTAATGTTCCAGAGTGGATTCTTGAAAGTTCAAAATAACACCACTACCTACAAAACTGTCACTCTTCCACTTGAGAGAGAAGAGCCTGCTGTAAGAAGTAGCATCGGATCAGCTGCTATAGATGAAGAGACAAGCTTTTGATTATACAAGCACTTCTCTACATGACTAAGCTCTGTGGAATTTTTCGAATTTTTCAAATGCAAACACAGTGCTAAAACCTGTAGCACCAAACCCAGCATACAATTACTTGTGCAATATACATAAGGGAGGGCAAACAGCATACACAGCAGTCACCAGTGAGAGCGAACTTACTTTTCCAGGTGCATTATTCCCCAATGCGTATCCTACAGTAAGATTTGGTTCCTATCTGTGTCCACTTTACAATGTTAAAGCTAAATCTTGGGGAACAGTCTCTGCTGGTTCATCCCTGCCATCCACTGTTGAGCAAAACAATGAATTTTTACTTTTGAATATTCACTAACATCGACAGCATGAAGATACAGTAGCAGCTACCTCGGATCTTCTTCAACTCTCTAAGAGAGACAATGTCCCAGCCTGAACATCTTCAAAAAGACACTGCACTTCATTGCAACTCAAACATAAGCATGGTAAAGCTAAACATTTTATTAAAATAGATACAAACTCAGGTTGTAAAACACATACAAACAGCACTTGCAAGATATTGCTATCCCAAGGGAATCATAACGGCTGGAGGCAATGCCTGCTGTTACTCACCCAAGGACCATTAAGACTCCAAGCTCTTGAGGCCAAAAATCAAAACCAACGCTTCTGGTTACAGCTGAAAGCAAAACACGTATTCTCCCCCTCTAACGGAAAAAGAGAAGGCAGCTTCCACCCTCCTGATGCTTCATGCTCTTAACAGTTTGCATGTTTGACTGCAGGAGGGAGCCATCAGGCCCCAGCCACGTGTTGGGATGTCATAGGCATGCAGCAGAGAAGTGGCTCAGCCTGATGCCCATGCTGCCAGCTCTGCTCCCCCACTGCCTCTGGGAATGTACGAATGCACAGAAGTGGGAGAGCCCAGGAAAATAAACACACCCAAACCAATCACTAAACAACCCCATCATCACCAAAACAAAAAGTCAACCAAAAGGCAGAGAAGGCAGCTGGGCGCTTCAGAGCCTCACTACATTGGTAACTTGATTTATGCAATAAACGCAGCCATGGTACTAAAATAAAGAATAAAAAAGATTGCTACTCAAGATATTAAAAAACAAACAAGAAAACCCACATTCTTAATACAGATAATGTCAACAAATTATTACAGCATTTAAATTATTATTTTTTATCATATGCAACCATAATTGTTTCATTTTAGCTTGTATAAATACAATAATGACAGGATACTGCCCCAAAAATGATAAGATGCCCTTCAATAGACTCTATGTACAAACTTAAGGCAGAAAGGCGTGGGGTTTTGGTTTTGTTTGTTTGTTTTTTCCTGTGGTAGAGAGCGGGGAGCAATGGAATAGGCATTTTTCTTAGCAGGGTTAGTATGTTTGCTTTTAATCCTATGTAGAACATTCCTTTCAAATTGGGAAAGGAAAAAAGTGAAAGAGCCTTTTGGAAATTAAAGCTGAAGTTGAGAAATAATGGCTAACTTCATTGGCAATCTGAAAAAATGTTACTATATATACATAAAAATATTCCACTTGCTTCTTTCAAATGCTGCATTTATCCAGGACTTTTCCAAGGGGAAATTTTCCCACACTGGTTTGATCCAAAACCACACTGACTTCTTATATTCAAAAACTTCCCTCATCACTACCTCTTCTCTACTTCATCAAGGCTCTGTTGGCCATTTCTCTAACTTTGCAAATATTTACTCCTCTAAGTTAACTTTCCCAACCATTCCCATAACCTTGTCTCTATTTCATCTTATAAGCCTATCTTCCCAAATTTCTTCTGCTACATCCATAGCATTTTACTAAAATTGTTGATGATGAGCAGCATTTGCCTGCTGACAACGAAGTGGTAACACAGGCCAGGAACAGAACATGCACAAGTCCACCCTGCTATATAAATACTGTGTGGAAGGATACAGGAACAGCAAGATCTGTGTTTGCTCAGCCATGAAAAAAGTTGCACATAAGAGAAGAAAAAAAAAAAATCCAAATCACCAAACCACACACAGAAAGAGGGAGTGCCCTGAAGGAAATACAGAACAAAGACTGTTAAAGTCCTCTCCCCATTCCCACTCTGGAGGTCCACCTCAAAACTCTAAATAAAGATCCGAGGTTTTTACTCCTGTAATGGACATTGCTATCTCAATTTACATTGCAAACCATGAACTGCTCAGGCAGCATTTTCCTGTTGCTTTGGCAGCTAGGAGAGAACAGACCTGTTCATAAGAGATTAAATACACAATATGCTTTCAATGGGAATCTTAAAATAAGCTCCTCTTAGTCACAGCACATCAGAAAATGACAAGTGGAAATACTTATAATAAAAATACACATTACACTAACATGGCAAAAGTAAAGAATAAAATCTTAAGACTGACAGAAAAATTCTGTTTCAAGGTGCAATAGAAATAAGCTCAGCAGCTACATTCATACCCATCCCTGGATTTTTTTTAGTGGCTGTTGTTCAGGCTCCAGCTATGTCAAGGTCCAATAATTTGAGGGTAAAAAAAAGGATGAAAAGACCATGACCTATATTTGTTCAAAATAATCTGTTTAATTATGCCTGTTTCCCAGGGAACACTGAGTAAAATTAACCTTTGGCCTTTACTCCTCCCTCCAAGTTAATTACCAGGATGTACTACAAAAGGCTGCCTAAAGCTATAAATTCCGGAACCTGCTCCAAGACCGATCCCTGATTGTGAAAGCAAGAAAGCAGAAGAGAATTTGTCACCTTACAATATGCTGCGGATTTTTATCAGAGGTGAGCTGAGTCATCCACCACTGTGCTTTTACAAGACAAGAGCAAGCCACAGTCAGCATCATGCTAGCTAACCAATATTGTACCAGCCTGAGCAAGATTTACCTTTGACTTAAGCACTGCAGCTTAGCTGTTCTCTCCTGCACCAGATGTAATATTTTCCGTCCTGACAGACAAAAAGCCCTGTAATTTGGTTTTCCATTGAGTTTTTTATGTATGTGACTCCCTGCCTTGCCTTTGACTACGAAAAAAGTAATTTAGTAGACTGAGCTTCCCTTCCTCCTCTGATATCATCTAGTCCACATGGAATTTACGAGACGACTCACTCTGACCTACAACTAATACCTTTCATTGGCTAGTAAGAAAGCAAAACGAAAATTACACCCCATTCAACTAAGACCTCAGAAACCTACAAAGGACAATTCTGATGTAACAGGCAAATAAGCCACTTCATGATGAAATTCCTTAAATACCTAGTAACAATAACCAGCATTTGCCATGCCAGAGGAGCAAATAGGCACCAAAAGCTCCAATAACCAGCCTCCTTGTCTCCTTCACGAGACACACTCATGCCAGCTCAAGCGTATTCTCCTCAACAACTCAAGACCCACATCCTTCACAGAGGGTCAAAATTTGAAAGGGAAAGCAGGCCAACCTCATATTTTAGTTGCTGGACCTTGGTCTGCTGGAGATGGCAATGTAACACCATTCACCAGCACTGAACCACAGAGATGGCAAACGGCTGAACAGAATGAAGCATACTTATGGGCTTGGTTTTGACCTTTGCGTTAGTGGTCCAAACCAAGCAGACAGCAGGAGAGAGGGGGGAAAAAGGTAGTACAGTCTTACCACTCAGTGGCAGCACTTCATTGTTAAGATCCTGCTTGAGTAGCTAAACATTTATTCCCCAGGCATACAGCATACATTCAGCATCTGTAACTTTTTTAGGAATATCACAGACCTTTTGGGGTTTGTATAATAGGTCCTATATATAGGACCACAAGCAACAAATCCCAGTGAACTTTATTGAGTTACATGGACTCTGAAGATCCACATGCAGCAAAAACATGAGTTAATTCCAGAAGGTTAACTTCACTTTGGATTCCTGCTCTGCTTCGACTCAAATCGACTCTTGCAATGTTCTCTTCAGAATATTTACAATACAGACAGTTAAAACATAAATGAAAACACAGATAAGGAGTTTCCTAACAACACAATAAGCAAGAAATAATACTGGAATAGGTTTATATTTGAAGAAATAATAGAATGATGTTTTTCTACTCATAACTTGGCATAAAAAATAATTTGCTGCAAAAAAACAGTCATCCTATAAATAGTCTGAATCATGTTCTCAACTGACTAATGGCTCAGGTATTTATATTCATCTATTTTAAGTTCTACCATGTAAGAACAAACTTTTACATCATCAGTACAAGTCAGAATGGGTAAATAACAATTACCCGATTTCACAAAGTACACCCTGGAAAATCCTACAGAACTAAAGCAATAGAGTAAGATTCAGTACTCTAAACCAGTTACTAGAAAAATACCCAACTGTTCATTTCATGCCATCAATTTTTAATTAGCTGCTATGCCCAAGCCTGAAATGCAGAGCCAGCAGTGGCCCTGCTACAAATGTGGAGAGCTCCAGCATTCCCCAGACCTATGGAGGAGCAAAAGGATAATGAAACTTTTCCATTAGGCCCTGTGCCAGTACTTCCTACATTTACATTGCTCGGGCTGCAGAAAAAGGTGAATAACACCAAGCTGTTCAAGTGACAACTGCACAAAGAAAGGCACTCTTACAGCACCCACACAGGACCCTAGGTTAAAAAACTCTTTGGACTTACCTTATGTTGCTCACAAAACCTCTATGCTCTGCACCAGGCTGACAGCCTTGGGCCTCCCCAGCTGAAAAAGAGGTAAATACAAGTGTGCAAATACGTTAACTTTTTCTTAAAGTTGACAGCTTTCATGCTTTCTACACACTGAAGGGCTTACACACACAGCTGTCTAGCAATGCTAGAAGATGATTACTCATCAGTGAGCAAGTGGACACACTTCATTCATCCTTGTCTATACAGAAATACTGATGTGCAGCTGATGGATTAATTCTTTCCAGGAACTGACTTGCACAAGGATGGACCACTTTAGTGTAGTAAACTAGAAAGCCAGATATTTCACAACCACCATAAACAAAGTTAAGAGAAACCAAGACTATGGTGTACAAAACCAGTTCATGCATGGGATCAGCAAGCTTTAGTTGTTAAAAGCTTATTACTGAAAAATAAGTGGATTTCCCCCCTTAAATCCTAACATTTGTGAGATACATTTATTCTCTTAACTAATGGAAAACTGAGTACTTTCAAAACATTGCCAAGTGCAGCCAGTAACCAGTTACTTGGACTATAGATAGGTGCAGTGTTTACATAATAAGGGCAATTGTCCAAACTTGGCATTGCTCTCTCTAGCAACAATAAAACGGATATTCACATTGTCTGCTTTAGGCAACTTAAGCACTTAATTTAGAGTAACTTCCTAGACCAAAGTTAGAAATCTAACATGCTTTTTTACACAAGCCAGATGTCTTTGGGATGTAAATTTACAGTGAGTATCGTTTCATGTGCATATTGACTGAACGGCTATAGTAGTTTAGCACAGAGGCGTTGAAGATTTAAAACTCATGTGGATTTTTAATATGGAATTAATTCAGTTGACAGTTCTGAACCCTGACAGAAGCTGGGATTCAAAAGCCTGAATCAGAGGCCCACCTCTCCTAATGATGAAATGAATACCAACTAACAGCTCCAAAGAAGGAAGGAAACTGTGAAGTCCAGTGCTTCCCCAAGACAACAGTTGAGCCAAAGCTAGAACAGTGCAACTTCTTGGTGACACTTTCCCAAACCCTCAACCCCCCCGCCAAAAAAAAAAGACAAAACCCTAACAAAAAAAACCACACCATGCTTTGTAGTTAAATATATATATATATATATATATATATATAAAAAGGTGCTTTTAACCTTCCCTATTACCAAACAGTATCTTCTCTCTCAAACAGGCAACATATAAGGAAAAAAAAAAGGAAGTAATATCTGAGAAGGACAGTCAGGTAGCAGGACTGTGTGAGGTTGTGCAAGTCCCTGGTCTGACCTGTAACTGACTCCAGGCTTACCGCAGACAGGATCTAACCTCTTACCAAGATTTTGTAGTAAGCTCTGATAAGATCTGGAACATGGAGCAACAAGGAAAGTATACACTCTGTATACTTCCTGATGCTCTCTGGCTTACTTGTCTGCCACTTTTGGGAAGTTGCCTGAAGGATGTTCAGCATTTACGGCAAACACACCTTCTTTCAGATCAACTGCCAACAGCAGAAGCAAAGGGATCACCTCACTTCAGTGCATGACAAGTGTCAAATGGCTGAAAGTTGCTCACAGGGGCATAAACATGCAGCCTTTCATTATTTTTTCTTTTTAAGGCTTCTGATACCTTCTTCAAAAACAACCCAAACCAAAAGTCACTACATACAGCCAACATGAGAAATTACATTAGTGCTGTCACTCAGCTGTACCCTTAATTGATGGGAAGCCTCTAACTGCCGTTTGAAGCTGACAGAAAAGTCTATGGATGATTACACAGAGCCCTGGCTAAAAACAAATGAAACTGATTTGTTCAAATACCATGATGGTACCACCATGGTGGCTACAAATTCTGTAGCCACCATTAAAGCACCTGCTCTTTTTGATGACAACACTGTTTTAACTGTAGCTGCCTTCCTTTACCCTTAGATTATTACCAAGAACTAAGCTCAGCTCTATCTCAGCTCTGATTAATGCAATGTTATTTATCAGACCCTCTAGATGGTCCATCTTCTGAAACTTGCTAGAGGTCTAGGAAACAGCATCTCCTGTAACCTTCAAACCAGACGGATATTTTGGCTGGACTTTTTGTAGTAGATCAGATGATGGATTTTAAGTTGTTAGCTAACACTACAGTCTCTACAGTGGTTTTTTTTCCTTAGTATACTGTATTGATTACATAAATATCTCCATGAAGTATCTTCACTCCACTGTGCTTCCTTGTATCTCTCAGTGACTTTTGACATTTCACAGAATTTTCAGTCTGATGATTCAAAACTTCTTGTGACTATAGGGAACAAGCTAAAGAAGTGACATAGCATATGAATCAGTGCCATGATTACCCCAGAAACTGACATCCAGATTCACAGGTATGTTTTGGCTCCTAACCTCACACTGAGCTCAGGCAAAAGAAAGGTACATAAATATTCTTGCTGATATAGCCATAAATTCATTAGGCCCTTTAAAATCTTGCTGAATCTTTATTAGCTACGTTACACTGTACTACATATGGTACTTTGGGGGCGGACAGGCAGAATTCACAAGAGTAGCCACAGAGGCACTTTCAGGAAGAAAAAATTTAGCAGCAACACAGCAGGGAACAGGCCAGAGGTCTGGAAGCAATGCCCAGTGCATGTTATCTGCTGCATCAATGCAAGGAGAGCACTCCACGTGACACTTACAGCAGCTCAAACCCCAGGAAATTATAGAAACAGCCAAGCTGTGAGGAAAGCATTAATGCGCTCAGGCTTTACATCAGCCATCCACTCACACCGGTTTTGTACCATTTCTAATGTTACCATGTGTGCTCCAGAAAAGAACTGACTGCAGAACACAGTGTCTGCTGTGGGCCTGTCAGAAAATAAATCCCCCAGCTCCAACAGCAGCAAGGCTTTCAGACACATTAAAACCTACTACTCAGGTCCTCCATCAAAACACACTGCGCCAAGCACTTTTTACTTATCAGTCTGTTTTCTCTCCACTCCTCCACCTCAGGTCTTTCTGCTTCAATGCATCTGTCCCCATTTTTAGTTGAGCTGCTTTGCACGCCTCTGCCACTCCCTCCGCTGCTCCTCCTTACCAGGAAAAGGCTACCAGGAACTACCGTTAATCTGATAAACGAGGGAAAATTAGCCAGAGAAAATCCTCCCCACTGCCGAGTCTCTCCAGAAACAGGATGTGGACAGGGAGAAAATCTTTCCTGAATAATGCGATGTTTATGTTATTTTCTGTCATATGAATGCTAAGGTACAACAAGAGTTTCAAGTTTGGGTTTTAAGACTCTTTAAAGAGACATAGCATAAGAAAAAGTAAGAAGTACATTACACGCAGTTTGTAGAAGGGGATATTTGGTAAATAAACCCAAACACTGTAATGGCTATGACAAGACTACCGTTTTAGGCTTATTCCTCATTACCATAAACATCAAAATTAAAGTTCAAGATAAACTAAGGATACAGGCAAAGTACAGAACTGCAACTACAGGAGCAAAACACGTACTCTCTTCTGAAACTACCCCACTTGCCTAAGAAAAACAACTTTCTACGAACTGAGGAGACGCAGCTGGTCCCTACCTGCCCCTATACCAGCCCCCGGGCCGCTGCCGCCCGGGGCCGGTATCCGTCACCCCGAGGGCGCCACGGGTCCCGCCGCCCCGTCCAGGCGGACACAAGTCCCCCAGCACCCCGGGGACACCGACCCAGGCATAGGGTACCGCTCGCCCCTCTCCCCGTCCCGTCCCTTCCCGCCCCACCCCACACCGCCCCGGAGGTCCTACCGCGGGTCCCTGGGAGCCGCTGTGACCACCGCCGCCCTCAGATCCCGGTAGCGTCCCGAGGCGTGGCGGGGGGCGGCCGGAGCAGCAGGAGGAGGAGCCGGAGCCGCTGCGGCCTCAGCTTCTTCCGCCCTACCAAGCGGCGGCGTCTCTGGGAGGGCGGCCCGGAGACCAGCAAACGAGGGCGGGTAGTGGAAAGGGTGACAGAGAACGGAAAAGGTGACGGAGCCGGCTGTCCCCGGGCGGCCGCCTGCCCGCTGTGGCAGCTGTTCCGTGCGGCGGGCGAAGCGCTGCTCTGCCCCAGGCCCGGCGCTGTGTCCTTGAGGGAGGTTCCGTTCTTGGGACACCCGCCTTGGTCCGGCCTCCGCTGGGGAGGCCCTCGGCAGCCTGGAAACAAGGGGCGCGTTCCACAAAACAGGGTTGTCAAAAAGGCGAATTCCAAAGAGAGGTTCGTTTCATAAAAAGAAGAACAAGCAGGAAAATAACTCCACCCATCCCACGGGCAGCCGCGGCTGTCCCTACGGGCACGTCCGCCCGTGAGGGGTAGGTGACGCAGACCCGGCAAAACGAAACCAAGGAAGCTACGGCCGAAGTCACAGATATAAGCAGTCAGCGTGAGGTTGAAACCCCCAATCCTGACTGCTTTCACCAGGAGGTCATGAGACATTCAGAAGACATGTTTTCAACGCAAATTGGGCCAGAAAACCCGTTTTGTTTTATGTAAGATACATTTCCTTCAGCAGAACCCTAGAAAAGTTTTAGAGGAAGGAGATTTTTCACATTGATGTTTTCTAATACAATCCATGCTAGCTAAATGCACCAATAAACATCTTCTTTTCCTACACGCATTCTTTAAAGATGAGTGAAGTTGCTCACATGGAAGCATTTAGAGATACAAAGCAAAATAATAAAAATGAAAAATAAAAAGGCCTAGCATTTTCCAGTTAAATTTCTTTTGCCAGATACTCATCACAATAACTGCTGACTGAATCATAGCATTATACAACTTGGGCAGGGAATAAACCCACCTTTGCAGTTGGGATTTTTGCAAACAGGGTCTCAGAACCTTTCCAATGGTTGCTTCCCTTATATGTGTGTTCTGTATCAGGTGATTTCATTTAGAACTGAACTGGTTCTGATGGCTGCATTCATACGTACATCCTGTTTGCCTACCAGCTCCTTTCAGTGGCAGGGCTGTTTTCTCTGCCATACAGCTTCCAGGTACCATCATGGCCAGTCGCTGAAATACTAAAGAAAAGAAATCCCTTCACCCCCCACCTCCAATCAAAAGTTTAACTGGCAGCAGAGGCCAAGGCTGCACCGACTGTAGAAAGCTA